AACAGTTTCCCAACCCAAACAAGCCCAGGCCCAGATGGATTCAGTTCAGAATTCTATCAGATGTTCAAAGAAGATCTAATACCAATACTCCCCCCAAATTATTCCACACAATAGAAACAGAAGGAACATTGCCAAACTCTTTTTATGAGGCAACAGTTGCCCTGATGCCCAAACCACACAAAGACATAACTAAGAAAGAGAATTTCAGACCAATTTCCCTTGTGAACATAGATGCAAAAATATGCAATAAAATACTGGCAAACCGAATTCAAGAATACATCCGAAAAGTCATCCACCATGACCAAGTAGGATTCATCCCAGAGATGTAGGGATGGTTCAACATAACGAAAATCCGTCAATGTAATCCACCATACAAACAAACTGAAAGAAAAAAGAAAACACGTGATCATCTGCCTCACTAGATGCTGAAAAAGCCTTTGACAAAATTCAACACTCCTTCATGATAAAAGGTCTTGGAGAGAATAGGGATACAAGGAACACACCTAAACACAATAAAGGCAATATACAGTGACCTAACAGCCAACATGACACTAAATGGAGAGAAACTCAAAGCAATCCACTGAAATCAGGAACAAGACAAGGCTGTCCATTCTCTCCATATCTATTCAACATAGTACTTGAAGTTCTAGCTATAGCAATAAGACAACAAAGGGAGATCAAAGGTATACAAATTGTAAAAGAAGTCAAACTCTATTTGCTGGTGATATGGTAGTATAAATAAGTGACCCCAAAAATTCTACCAGAGAACTCCTACAACTGATAAACACCTTCAGTAACGGAGAAGGATACAAGATTAACTAAAAACAAAAACAACAACAACAAAAAACAAAAAACGTATAGATAGTAAACAGGCTGAGAAGGAAATCAGAGAAACGACACCCTTCACAATAGCCACAAATAACATAAAATATCTTGGGGTAACTATAACCAAACAAGCGAAAGACCTGTATGACAAGAACTTCAAGTCTTTAAAGAAGATATCAGAAAATGGAAAGATCGGGACTGGAGAGATGACTCAGCGGTTAAGAGCACTGACTGACTGTTCTTCCAGCGGTCCTGAGTTCAATTCCCAGTAACCACATGGTGGCTCACAACCACCTTGAATGAGATCTGGTGCCCTCTACTGGCATGCATACAGAATAAAGACTGTATACAGAATAAATAAATAAAATCTTAAAAAAGAAAAAAAAAGAAAATGGAAAGATCTCCCATGCTCATGGATAGGTAGGATCAACATAATAAAATGGCAATCCTACTAAAAAGTAATCTACAAATTCAGTGCAATCCCCATCAAAATCCCAGCACAATTCTTCACAGACCTCAAAAGAGCAATACTCATGTGGAAAAACAAAAAACCCAGGATAGCCAAAACAATCCTGTACAATAAAGGATCATCTGAGGGCATCACTAGCCCTGACTTCAAAGCTCTACCGTAGACCTATAGTAATGAAAACAGCTTGATGTTGGCATAAAAACAGACAGGTGGACCAATTGAATTGAATCAAAGACCCCCACTATCAACCCACACACTTATGAACATTCAATTTTTGACACAGAAGCTAAAAAAATACAAAATGGAAAAAAGAAAATATACTAATCCTAAGTGAGGTAACCCCAAACCAGAAAGACAAAAATAGTAAGTGCTCACTCATAAGTGGATACCAGACATAGGGCAAAAGATACCCAGCCTATAATCCACAATCCCAGAGAAGCTTGAACTCTCTTCTGGAAACAGATGCAGAAATCCACAACTAACCAATGGGCCAAGCTCCTGGAGTACAATCAAAGTGAGGGAGGAGTGATAATATGAGCAAAGGAATCAAGACCCTGATGGGGAAACCCACAGAAGCAGCTAACCCAAGCTAGTGAGAGATCACTGACTCGGGTCTGACAAATGGGTAACCTGCTTAAGACCAAACTAGACTCTCTTAATATAGGTGACAATGGTGTGACTGGTACAACATATGAGGTCAGTGGGTCCAAGATCTAACTCTAATGCACAAACTAACTTAGTGGAGCTCATGCTGTATGGAGAGATACCTTGCCCAGCCTAGACACAGAGGTGTGGGGGTGTAGAGGTACCTTGGTCCTGCCTCAATGAGATGATGGAACAGACTAGTAGTCTTTCTAGGGGAGTAGATGGAGAGGAGGGTGGAATTGTGGTGGGGGGATAGCAGGGAGGAGGAACTGGGATTGGAATGTAAAAGCAAAAGATAATAATAAAAGGAAAAACCTTTAAAAAACCCAAAAACTCTCCATGCTTATATCTTTCTTGTTCCAGCCCTGAATTCATTTCTCCATGGAGATCTTATTCTTTTTATTGATACTCAAAACAAAATCTGGGTACTGGATTTGTCTAGACTCATGTTAAAGTTTAGAAATACATATATGTTTACAAAGTCCCATACATCCCACACATTATCTATCTGTTGTCTATCCACCAGAGACCATTCCCATATTGGTATCCTTGATTCTGATATTCTTTCTAGCCTTTCTTGATCAATAACTTCTCTTTCAAATATAGTATATTTATCTGCTTGTTTAATGACAGTATGCATTTAAAATACAGACAGAATTCCTAAAATATAACCTTGAGAGAAACAATTTTACAAACAGAGTGCTTTGTTTGTATACAATTGTTTTTGTCCTTACCCTCACAATATGCAGTCAAAACACTGTTTTCCAAGGCCAGCTCCCTCCCTTCCTACCATCTCAGTGTGGTTACGTGATTCATTTTAGTACCAGCTAGATGAATTCATCAGCTTGTTGACACCATCTCTCCACCCCCTTCCTCCACAACTAAATATCTGGCTTGATTAGCATTTTTTTATTTTGTTTTAGTTTTTATGATTTTTCTTATTAGTTCAAATTAGGAACCAGCTTGCTTCACATGTCAATCCCTTCTCCCTCTCCTTCCCCTCACCGTCACCCCTCCTAACCCACCCTAACCTACCCCCCACCCCATCCACCTTCCATTACCCAGGCAGGAAAGAGCCCTCAATATCTAGTAAAATTCACTTTTTGTAATGACAAGTTCTATGGCTTTTGACAAATAAATGAAATTATGCATTATCAGCCATGAAAGTTTTGTAGAGTACTTCTCACTTCCAAAATACTGACATGGCAAGTTTAATTTAGTCATGCTTTCTCAGTGTCAACCAGAAGGTGACAGAGTTTCCCTCAGCAGCCTTCCCTAGGCTAAGCCAGTTTGAAGAAGCAAAACAGGTAACTCTCTGTCCCACACATCAGTCTCTGGGCTGTATACTACAGAGCTTTCAGAAGGGTTATAAAGTATGGTTTTTCTTCCCCAAAACAGATGAGTTTAGCTGGACATTCAGAATCCCACATGCCAGAATAATGATTAACCAGAATAATCAATCTATGTATATAGTCAGGAAGGTATCCCCTAACAGTAAGGCTTGAGGTATTTAGCACTTACAGGCCAGGCCCTAGGCAATGAAGGAAGATGAGGAAAGTGGAGCATAAAACCATATCAGGGTGAGGGTAGAAAGGCAGTGGTAGAAGAACAAGCAAGCACATGCGGATGGCATAACATCTGGCCCTGAGACCCTGCTCTGGCCAGCGAAGCTACAAAGATAGGCAGGGACAAACTTGGCAACACTTCAAATGCTCTATTATGGCATTTGTTTAATATACAGCAAACACACAGTATTCTAATATGCAAATAGCTATGCCACACAGGAGATTTGTGAAACAGTATATTGCCTCTGTGATTAGGTACAGCTCTGCTTAGTAACACATTATAACTTCAAAATCATTAACTGGCCCCATACTCATCCCTAAGCTGCATGTGTAAACCGGGAATAAGAGTCAATAGGGTTAGTGTGTGTCAAACAGAAGATGCACACTAAGTAGAGAAGAGTTTACAGCACACGGAAGTGTTTAATAATAATACTTCTGTGAATAAACTGCAAGACATCTAAATTATCTAAATGTCCTTCAATAATCCTCTTACCTTTTAAAAAAATTATTATGTGTGTGTGTCTGTGAGGGGGGGATGTATGCCACAGCACACCTGTGGAGGTCAGAGAACTGTCACGAGTTGATTTGCTCCTTCCAGTATATGACTGCAGTGACTGAACTCAGGTCACCAGGCTTGGTACCACACACCACCTTTAGCTGTTGGGCCATCTTATTAGGCCTCTCTTACTTTTCTTCACGACAATAAAGCTCTCTCTTTTTATCTATTTTTTTATTTCCAGTTTGATTTTTCATCATCATTTCTAACTCCTTAAAATAAATCATTAGAGTCTAGAGAGATGACTCAGTGGTTATAAGCACTGGCTAGTTTTGCAGAGGCTCTGGGTTCAATTCTAGGTTCGGTTCCCAGAACCCACATGGTGGTTCACAAATATCTGTAATTCCAGTTCCATGGGATCTCATGTATTTTCTGAATTGCACTGGTTCCTACGTGCATAAGAGCAGTACCTGTCTCTCTAGGCCCCTTCTGGTCATTTCTAAAAAGTTTCTAATTGGCTTCCTCTACCCAAGCCTTCAAAGCCTCTTTTTTTTTTTTTTTTTGCTGTGTACTCACATGATTACATGAGGTAAGGCATCTCTATCTCTCTTGGTCTTTTTTTTTTTTCCTTTAAAAAGTGCACCACAGTTTTTATATGTATTTTTTCTTTCTTTTTCTTTTTTTTGCCTTCAAAGCTTCTTATAGCCAGTTTATTTATGTCACCTTAGGTTAATAGCTTCCAGAGAACCACAAATGTCAAACTCTTTACCTACCTGGACAAACTTCTAAATATACCTAGTGTATTGTATTTACCATGTTTCTAGTACACAAAATGATATCAAGTCCTACTTCATGACTTTCCAATTAAATTCCTATCATTATTCCTTGAAAAGTTTGTGGACTATATAGTGCACACAGAAAAAAATAACTAAAAAGTATTGTAGTTGCAGATTAAGGAATGGATGAAGTATAGCAGAGAAAGCCCTAAGCTCCAACTCACCCTTCCTGTTCATGCCCATCTGGAGACACTTGAGCAGGCGGCAGTACTGGCATCTATTCCTCTGTTTCCGGGACATGACACAATTCTTGTCACGACTGCACCGATACACACGTTTGTTGCAAATACTCCTCTTGAAAAAACCTTTGCAGCCTTCACAGGAGATGATCCCATAATGCAAGCCGGTAGCACGATCTCCACAGATAAGACAGGTTCGTTGTTCAGCTCGATCATCTGGAACAGAAACTGAAGATGTACAAGTTAGAGCAATGTGGAAACAATGGGTTAAGCTCATAGTTCCCCAAACCTCCAGCCCTGCTCTGAGTAAATAAAAAATATGAACTCCAGGCTAACTGTTAAGTCATTGAAGTGCCTTCTCCAACCTCATCTAACTGTTAGCCTTTGGGAAAGAGCTACTTTTCTCAATGCTAACACAGTGTTCTCTCTCTCTCTCTCTCTCTTTTTTTTTTTTAGATAAGGTTTCTCTGGGTAGCATTTGCTGTCCTGGAACTTACTCTGTAGACCAGGCTGACCTCACACTCACAGATCTGCCTGCCTCTGCCTCCCAAGTGCTGAGATTAAAGGTGTGTGCCACCACTGCCTAGCTTGTATTCTTAATCTATTAATTCAGTGTTCTTCTTCTGTATTATTCCTAAAATACATTACAAGAGTAAGCTTGTACTCTTAATCTATTAATTCAGTGTTCTTCTTCTGTATTATTCCTAAAATACAGTATAAAGAAATTGAGCAAATAAGTACTTTAAAGTCAATACTACAGCTCATAGCAGATGTAGTTAAGATACTTAACGTTAACAGGCATCTGAAACCCTAAATAAATTTGTTATCTACAAAACCATCAGAAGTTAAAAGCTGTCTGAGAAAAGAAAATGCTCTAATTTATCAGAGAAACTTATTTTGTAGGGCTCAGACTTTAAACATTAACTCCTGTAAGTAGGACCTGTAATACTTTGGGTGAATCTGCTGATCCAAAGTATTGGGTAGAAAACATATAAAATGGATAAGTTTTGTTATGTTATTCAAACTAATCATGAGGACATGTCAAAAGGAAACAAGAGACAATATGAAAATCTTTCACAAGTCTAAGATAAAGCAAGGTATGAATCAAAAAGAATACTGAGAGCAATAGATAAAGCATTTCAAATACATGGCCAGCAAGGTGCCTCAGTCGTCTGATTGCCTGAGTTCAATCTCCAGAACCCATGGTAGATGGACAAACCAACTACCAAATGTTGTTCCCTCACCACTACAAACACATGACCCTGTAAAAAAAAGTTTACAAAATAAACTTTTAAAAATTTCAAATACAAGTTGGGCAGTGGTGGCACACACCTTTAATCCTAGCACTTGGGAAGCAGAGGGAGGTGAATCTCTATGAATTTGAGGCCAGCCTGGTCTACAGAGTGAGTTCCAGAATAGCCAGGGATACACAGACAAACCATGTCTGAAAAAAATTTTTTTTCTAAATATAAAAACTAGTACACTCATTAACAACATTAAAAATGAAAAGCCTCAGGGCTGGAGAGATGGCTCAGCAGTTAAAAGCACTGGCTGCTCTTTCAGAGGACCTGGATTCAACTCCCAATACCCATGTGCCTGTAGCTCCATTTTCAGGAGATCTGACACCCTCACACATACATGCAGGTAAATGAGTCCGCATGAATTAAAAATTAAAAAAAAAAGACAGAAAAATAAAAAGCTTCATTAGTTATCACTGAATTTGCTTTTTAAGAAGTAGGTGAAATAAAGGAAATAGAGAGGTGGATCAAGCATTTAAATAAAGATTACTAGAATTGTCACCTCTTATTCCATATCCCAACAGTAAGAAGGGAGCAAGGATGGGAAGACAGGTCATAAATTCTAAACTATAGAACTTCAAGCTTAGTAGAGAATTATTAGGATTTGGTGAACAGCTAGATACACATGGCATAGTGGGGTAAACAATTTATTTGAGAGCCTACAGAATAGACAGAGACAAGGGAAGGGGGCAACACTTGGCTTACAAAAGTTCTAGAACAGAGGCAGGACAAATGAGATCAAGACTTTAGACCTCTGAGTTCAAAATTAGGCTTTGGCACTTGCTAGCTCTGTCTCTGTGAAAGGAACTGGCAAATTCTGAAGTGTACATAACTACCAGCAAGACAAGTGAAGGTAGGGAAGAGGGTGTAGCAGAAGGAACCACTACCCCGAAGAGCCACACCTTCAGTGTGGTACTGACAGCCCTCTTCAACTTGGGTTTATTGAGAAGAGTCATGCTCCTTTCCAAAGTACCCAAATACTTCACTAAGTTCACCAAACCAGCACGAAGAGCAATAGGGAACTATCCAGAGATACAAAAAGGTTATGTTACCCTAATATGGGAGAATCATGATCTCACCATAATCTTATTCTGCAAATTTTTTTTTTTTTTTTTTTTTTTTTTTGATACAGGATGCCATGTAGCCGACACTGGTTTTGAACTCTTGATCCTTCTGTCTCCACACTTAGTGCTGCAATTGTAAGCATGTGCCACCATGCCTAGCTGTTTGCAAAATATTGTTAACCAGCAGTAAGTAAAACATTAGCCCCATAGCTACATGCAGCATGCAAGAGAGGGAAAAGAGCTCAGAGCTTATAGGTGGCAGCCATGCTAAAGAATGGCTGGATGGTGGTGAAAAGAAAGCTTGGAAATTCAAATAAATAACAAAACTACACATTTTTTTTTTGGGGGGGGAATCCTACATGTGGCCTTTATACATGTAGTCTTTAGTATAGTCTTAGGAGGGATCTTAAAAGCTTTCCTGTAGCTGGGAATTGTTGTGAGCAACAAATACTGTAATGTTGAATGTTGTTTCTTCAGACTCCTACTAAAGACAGTTAAGAACAGATCCAGAGGTCAAAGTTCCCATAGACACACATCAATACTCAGATGCAGACATGTCAAATTCAAAACCCTGAGAATGATAAGGCAGCTCATGAAGCTAGCTAGAAGAGCGCACCCAGGCACACTGTTTTAGAGCACGCCTGACACACATCTGCTTAGACAGATGTATGTATTCATCTTCACATCACTTAGGTGGAACAAAAAGGCAAATGAGAACATGGATACTTAAAAGCAGGTGGCTCATTAATCTGACTAGAATTGTACAAATTTTTTTATCTTGTTTCATAAAAGTGGCAGGACTTTTGAATAACATCACATCTAATCAAAGTTACTAACTATGAAGACAAATTTCAGAGAATTAACAGTAACATCTGGTGACAAGTCCACCATGGTAAAGGTATATTTTTGTTTTTAGTTCTGTAATTTGAATCTAGGACCTCCCTTATTTGTTAGTTTTTGTTATAGACAGACTTGCTAAATTAAAAAGGCAAACCTGCGGTATGTAATCCTCTAGCTTCACCCTCCCAAGTATTTGATATAATATCCTGCACCACCTGGTCTAGCTTGTATTCTTTTGAATAAATGGGTAAGTGTATAAGCAGTATGACTTAGTGAAGTTTTCAAAATCACAAGTTATAACACATAGCATTGTAACTTTTTTGAAAACAAAAATATAAACTATCAAGTGGAAATAAGACACCTAACATTGACTACCCCCCTTTCTTTCAAGACAGGGTTTTTCTTTGTAGCACTGGCTGTCCTAGAACTAGCTCTGTAGATCAGGCTGGCCTTGAACTCTCGGAGATCTCGCTATCTCTCCCTTCCAAGTGCTGGGATTAAAGGCATTTGGCCAATGTGAATCCCATCCTGTTGGGATCCAGTCCACCCAGAGCCTGCCAGGGTCCTAGTCCCTTTCTCTGCCCATGGGACTAGGTAAGCTTGGGGCTGTTTGTGGCCCGCCTTGTGGTGCCCTGCTCAGAAACACCTGGGGACTGCACACTGCAGATCCCATCCCAGCAGGATCCAGCACACCCAGAGACTGCCAGCTTCCTAATGTCTTTCTCTGCCCATGGGATGAGGTAAGAGTGGGCCTGTTTCCAGCCTACCTTGTGGTGCCCTACTCAGAGCCACCTGGGGCCTGGGACTGCAAATCCCATCCCTGTGGGACCCAGCCCACCCAGAGGCTGCCAAGGCCCCAGTAACAGGTCCACCTCCATCCACAGGAAAAGGAGAGCCATCAGAGTATTGCACCTGTTTGCATCCACCAGAAGGGAACCTTGGTCCAGTACACACCAGAAGAGGAAGAGACTCCTACACCCACAGAAAGAAGGGTTGGGAAGAAGACTATATAAAAACACATTCAACAACAGAAAAACCAATATGACACCACCAGAGTCTAGGGACTCTACACCAGCAAGACCTGAATATCCCAAGGCAGATGAAGCAGAAGAGAACGAACGACCTTAAAAACAACTTCAAGAAAATAATAAGAGGCCCTCAAAGAGGATATGAGAAAATCCCTTAAAGAAATGGAAGAAAAAAACAAACCAAAAAAATACAAGAAATCAAATCTCATAAAGAAAACCAAGGAAAAACAATCAAACAGATGAAAGGAACAGTTCAAGACCTGAAATTTAAAATAGAGACAATAAAGAAAACACAAACCGAGGGAATGCTGGAAATAGAAAAGCTGGGTAAATAATCAGGAACTACAGATGCAAGCAAGCATAACCAACAGAATACAAGAGATGGAAGAGAGAATCTCAGGCGTTGAAGACACACTAGGAGAAATAGGTTCATCGACCAAAGAAAGTCTTAAGTCTAACAAATCCCTAACACAAAATATCCAGGAAATATGGGACACCATGAAAAGACCAAACCTAAGAATAATAGGCATAGAAGAAGGTGAAGAAATCTACCTCAAAGGTGCAGAAAACACATTCAATAAAATCATAGAAAAAACTTCCCAACCTAAAGAAAGACATGCCAATGAAAGTACAAGAAGCTGACAGAACACCAAAGAGAGGGGACCACAAAAAAAAAAAAAAAAAAAGTTCCCTCGCCACATAAAAATAAACCCCTCAAACATACAGAATAAAGAAAGAATATTAAGAGCAGCTAAGGAAAAAGGTCAAGTAACATATAAAAGCAAACCTATCAGAATTACACCTGACTTTTCCATGAAAACTCTGAAACCCAGAAGGTCCTGGATATTCTACCAACACTAAGAGACCACAGATGCTAGCCACCTAGAAGGTCCTGGATATTCTACCAACACTAAGAGACCACAGATGCTAGCCAGACTACTATACCCAGCAAAGCTTTAAATCAATATAGATGGAGAAAACAAGATATTCCATGACAA